GGACAAATACCAATTGAATGAAACAATTAAAAAAAAGTTTCAAGTAGAAGCCTCTATAGATCGTTCCTATTTCTCCAAGTGTTTAAAAACAAAACAAAACAAAGGTGTAGGGTAGGGAGGAGAATAAAACAATAATTAAAGTCTCTCCTGATGATCACAGTCAGGCCTGAATTAGTGACCTCACAGGTCAAGTGCAAAATCTCGAAGTACAGAACAGAAACCACAAAACAAGTATTTACTGAGCACCTAAGTAGCAGGAACTGTTCTAGGATTAAAAAAAAAAAAAGGTGAGCAGGAAGGATAAGATAAGACTATGAAGGAGAGAGTACAGTAGACTTTACATGCAATTATTAGGTCATGCAGAGAAGGAAAAAAAAAAAAAGAGGAGAAGCAACAATTAAACAAATATTAGAAGAAAATATTCCTGAGCTGAGAGAAGGCTTGAAGCTTCAGATTGAAAGAGCTCACAAGAGGTCCAGGAAGTGAGGGGGGAGAGGTAGACTTATCAGACATCCGATAAAATTAAGGAACTCTAAGGATAAAAAGGAAAAAAAAAAACCCTCATAGTTGACAAGCTTTTAGCTATAAAGAACGAGTTCCCCACAAAGGGGAAAAAAATCAAACTGGTTTTATTATAAAATCCTAGTCTGCAATAATAGAAGCTAGAAGACAATGGACGTAATAGTTACAGGCTAATGAAAGAAAAGGACTACAACCCAAGAATCCTACCCAGCAAAATTACCATTTCCTCTGCTAGAGGAAAAGATGATATTCAATAACTAAAGTGTATCACCCAAATACATTATCTAAGGAAGATATAGTGCAGTTCACAATCTTTACCACTGTACATGTGGCCCTAAACACGGGAATGGCTGGGAGCAAATGGTACATTCACAAGATGGAGTATTGTGAAGTTAATAAAAAGAATGACTTCGTGTTTGTAGCTGGGATTTCTCCTAAGACATGCAGACATGGAAATGAAGGATAGTTTATACTCAAATATCCCTAGAACCAGGAAGCATGGCACACCATGCCATGAAGAGCCACACGGGGAAGGACCAGGATCAGTCAGGAGGCAGAGAGGGAGAGGGTGCAGCATGGCCTAGAGTCTTTATTAACATTTTCTGTGGGAAGGAATGGGGGAGGCAGGGCAGGTACACTGAGTAAGTTTGGGATTGGATTTTTTTTGTTGTTGTTGGGGGGATTGGATATTTTGAATAATTTCAGTAGACTGGGCTACAGGGCTGGTTCCTAGCTGCCTGGTACCTGGCTCTGGGGTGGGGAGAATACTGGCTCACGTGTGAGAATTTGATAAAGGGGATGGTTGGGGGTGTGGACTCTGGATTGGTTGTCTTGTATACTAAAGGCATGCTTCCGGGGGGTCCTTTGCTATCTCTGGGAATTAGTTCTGGAAGGGGCAGTGTCACCAGGATCGATCAAGGATCCAAATGCCACAGTATCCAGGATACAGAAAATAAGAAAATGTAGTCAATACAATTGGCCCTGTGATGCTCTGGCATCATATTAAGGAATCCCTGGGGGTGATACTAGTGGAGACTTTTAGCGAGCAGGGCATAAGTTGCACTAACACTGTAGAAAACATTTTACTAAGAGAGTAGAAAGGAAGAACACAAGTAGAGGTGTAAGGAGTCCTTGCAGGCCAGCCTATGACTAGATTTTCTATTTATATGGCATTAACCAAGAAATAGGAAATTCTTGGGGTCTCCAACAATATCTAAGTGGAGTTGGAAAGTGTGCTAAAGGTATGATGTATCAAGATAGCAGGTCCAGCAGTTGTTCTGTTGGACAGTATGAAATGATACATTAGTAAAGTATATGTAAGATTAGTGGGATTGTGTGTAACCAAGGAGAAAGAGTGGTTGTGGCGATCATGGTGGGAGGCATAAGGTGAGAGTAGGAAAATGCCTTGGGAACTAGGTAGTCCTCTCCCCAAAGTGCTGAGGGATTTGACTAATATGAGGCAAATGCCTCCAGGGAAAGCAATAATCTCCATTAATTTAGAACACAGAGAGCAGTAACCTCTACTAGATTTCTCCTTAGACACAGGTATGAGGGGTGTGCCTTTTGGCAAAGAACAAGGAGTAGGATCATGGGCTAGGCAGACAGTAGCTCAGAAATGTAATGGGATCCCTAATATCAAAGGAAGAAAAGCAAAAACGTCCTGTGTACAATTTGTGCCTTAGGAGAGGCAACCCATGTGTTGCTGGAAGCGAGGTTTTAGTGTCAGAGTGAAGTCATCTCCAATGATGGGCACTTGGAGTAGGAGATGCCCTCTGGGATACGGGGCTGGGGTATCCTTTCCCAGAGGGTATCCACTCGAGGTGATGTGGGGTCTCACATTTACCATGTTTGGGTCTTCAGACTGTAAATTAATGAAAGTCTACAGACCAATAGCAATAAGACCAACAGTCAACAGGAAGATGAGCAGCTGCACTGAGAGGGCTTTTGTTTTTGGTGGAAGTTTCAGCTCAAATGGGTCCTCTATCAGGTAAACAGCTGTCTAGTATATGGACAATTTGGTTAATGCGCCCCTTGATCTGGCCTCCAGCCCTTCTGGGATGAAGGAATGATAAAACATTTATAAAGATATGGGAAGACATTATAAAAAGGGTCTCATTTACAAGGAGTCTTTATATACACGGAGGCAATGCACATCCCCTTTAAATATAAGGGGGAAAGAAAACTTTTAAAAGTTGGTGTGAGGTGTAAACCGGCCAAGGGGCCTTGAATTAAGAGAGATTAAGGCCTAGAGCAAGATAGAGACCCATTTAGGGGTCCATTTACCTGAGTGGAATTTGAAAAAGAGCTGTGTGAGACCATTATGTCTCTTAATTAAACTGGCTATCTGATACCTACAAGGGATGTGAAAGTTCTATTGAATACCTTTTCCAAGAGATTAGCATTGTGTATTTTTAGAAGAAAAATGTATATCTTAGTTATTAACAATAACATCTGTAACTCTAAAAGTAGTATGGCGTGCAATTGGAAAGGCCTTGTATTGTGGCCTAAATATATATGGAGATGTGTGATTTTGACTTATATTTTGGACATCTGTGAGGCAAGAGAGTCCCAGTTTTGTTAGTTTTTTTCTCCCTTAAAGGGACAATTTTAGGCAATGACCCAACAGTTTATAATAAATGTGAAATGAGGCTACTTGTTGGCCAGGGCATCCAGAAATTTGGTTGAGTGTGTTGTTTCTTGGGTCCCATCCATTATTAGGGACCTCCCTGGCTAAAAGATGGAAAACAGCAACATTTCATTGAGCTCCATCATGTATGATGGTTAGCAGTGCCATTTGCATAGTCTATGTACTCCCATTGCTGTTCATTCAGTTAATCCCAAGTGGATTCTGAGCAGCCAAGTGATCTGGGGGAGGGATGACATCCTCCAGCACCATGGCACTTAACAAGGGACTGAGGACAGGGGAAGCCACCTCCTCCTGCAGGTGGAACATGCCAGAGAGCTCAGGTTCGGCTCCATCCTGTCTAAAGAGGCCTTGGTAGCTGTGCTGAGTTTCTGGTGTATTGTTACTACGACCCAACGCTTAACAAGCAGTTGGGTATGAAAGGTCACAGGCTCAGAGTATGTGAGAGCCTCTGTTTTCCAGAGAGCTCAGCATGTATTTTATTTGTTGTTTTAATGGAGTATAAACTCCATTAAACTGCCCATTAGAGGGCAGTTTCTTGCATCGTAAGCCCTTGGACAACTTATGGCCATCCTACGTGGTCTAGAGATTCCAGGAGGTATGACAAGAGGTTACCAAAATTTCCTTGGTGAAAGAGTCCTTCAGGGCACTAACGGGAGTACCTACTGATTTTAATTTGGAAGTAAAATTTGTAAATAAAGAATATGTTGCCTTCAGAACCCCCAAAGTACTAAAACATGTTGGACCTGTATACCTTAAATGTATATCAAATGAGTCTCCTTGGAGGAGGATGTCATCAATGTAACATCACACCTGTGCTCCTGGAAAAAGGTGGATGCAGTTGAGATCTTGTCTGCCTAGATTGTGATGGCAAAGCTGCTGAGGTACCCAATAGATAGTCTGGAAAAGGTGTATTGTGTCTCTTTGAAGTGAAAGCGAACAGCAGCTCGAGGCTGGTGAAATAGGCACTGAACAGAACATGTTAGCCAAGTGTACAGGGGCAAAATATTTACAGGTTGTTGACTGAATAGAATCAGTAATTTCAATAATATTGGATATTCAAAACTACAGTGAGGTACCATCTCACACTGGTCAGAATGACCATTATTAAAAAGTCTACAAATAATAAATGCTGGAGGGGGTGTGGAGAAAAGGGTCTCACACTGTTGGTGGGAATGTAAACTGGTGCAGTCACTATGGAAAACAGTATGGAGGTTCCTCAAAAAACTAAAAATAGTGTTGCCATATCATCCAGCAATCCCACTCCTGGGCATATACCCAGACAAAACTATAATTCGAAAAGATACATGTACCCCTATGTTCATAGCAGCACTATTTACCTAAATGTCCATCTACAGATAAATGGATAAAGAAGATGTGTGATAAATAAATAAATAAATAAATAAATATATACACACAATTAAAAAGAATGAAATAATGCCATTTGCAGCAACATGGATGGACCTAGAGATTATCATACTAAGCAAAATAAGTCAGAAAGAGATAGGCAAATACCATATGATATCACTCATATGTGAAATCTAAAATACAACACAAATGAATATATCTACAAAATAGAAACAGACTCACAGACATAGAGAACAGACTTGTGGTTGCCCAGGGGGAGGGGGGTGGGGGAGGGAAGTATTGGGAATTTGGGATTAGCAGATGCAAATTATTATATATATAGGATGGATAAAATATAGGTCCTACTGTATAGCACAGGGAACTATATTCAATATACTGTGATAAACCACAATGAAAAAGAATATGAAAAAGAATATATATATGTATAACTGAGTCACTTTGCTGTACAGCAGAAATTAACACAACATTGTAAATCAATTATACTTTAATAAAATTTAAAAGAAATAACATTGGATATTGAGTATGGGGGCCCCAATGGATGGGACCACACCATTAACGTTGTAGTAATCCATCATAAGGTGGCATTTTAATCTTATTGCTATATAAATTCTTTAATATATTCATTTAGTATATAAATTTTGGATTTACAATTACATCAAATTATAAAACTTTGCTTTAATATTATATTTATGTATATATTATTCAATTACCTTTTATTTTCTGTTTTTGCTTTTAAATCATTACGTAATCTACAATTAGCATTATGTTTGCTAGATTGGTGTTTGCTTAGTACCTAAGATTTAAAGTTCCTGTTTTTTTCTCCCCTTGAGCTTGTATCCACCTAAAGTGGCAGTCAGTTTTTCTGTTCTCTTCCTGTTTCAGGCTTTTGCACCCTGAAGGTGCAGTCTTTACTTTCTTTTTCTGGCTAATAAGAGGAAAAAAGGGAGGCTGAAGGGGCCAGGTGCTTCTGGGCAACTTACCCCCGGGATTGCCCCTGTCCAAGGAATCATCAGTCCCTTCCTCACACTGCCACCTTTTTTTTTTAAAACTTACAGAATGGCTTGTACCTCTAGATGACTAAAACTTTTCCTTTTTTTTTCTGTTGGGTGTTCACCTGATAAGCTCCTATTGGTCGGTAGTGGCCTCTCTGTAAGCAGCGCCCCCCCTTCTCTAGGGTGTCCTAATCAACCTTAGAGGGGCTAGGGTCTACATCTAGGAAAGCAACGGTGGCATCAACTTCACCTTTTACATTTTTTGTTTTGAGCATGAGACTCTTTGCATGTTGATAAGCAGCAGCTCTTATGAGGGCCCATATGCATGGACCAGGGCTTTGTATGTTTAAAATTAATTGGATCAACTCTTCAGGTCTTGGCGGGGGACATGCTGGAACCTGGTGCTCCTTTCCCCTCCTCTCCTTCTTCATTAAACACTGAGCCACGGTCTCCAGGGATGGGACCTCTTATACCCTACTAGTGTGGGGAATGGATTGCTTGCGACAGCAGGAAGCAGACATAGCAGAGAAGCTTGTGACCTGAACAATGCTTGTGGGGAGCCATGATCTCCTGAGAAGGCCCTCACACCAAACCCACAAATGGCCCACAGCACACAGGTGAGTGCTCAGGTGCAGCCATCTCCGACTACTTTGAGGAACAGGCTGAGATTTGACTCAGAAAAGCTCAGAGGGGAAAAGGAAAATGCTTTATGGATGCCTACAGGAACATGTAACGTCGCAGACACGAGGTACTGATAAGGCCTCACTGGTTGTTGGCGCTGCCCAGTCAGTGGATTAGACTCATCCCATGGCTCTAGGAGGGTAGTCATTCCACATCCCCAGCAGATGGACCTTTTCGAAATGTACCAGTTACCTATGTGTATTTGAAGTTTGGAGAAAGACTCCTTTTTTCTTAAAATTAAAAAAAAATTCCAATTTCAATAGCATTCTCAAAGATTGTTAAGAATCCTCACCAAGTGAGAAAAAGTGAGAGTAAAATGGTCAGGGCTTAAGAAGATCAACTATAAAGTAAACGTATGGAAAACGTTTGGCCAGAAAGGTCTGATATGAGGCCTAACACACACTTAAAAACTCAACAACTAGATACTTGGTATTCAAGCTCACAAAAACCTCTTTAACTAGCCTCCTATTGATAGAATCAGAAAGAAAGGGAATATAAGATTAGGTTCATGATAATCACTTGTGGGTTATGACACAAGAAGAGTGGAAAATAAAATAGAAATTTTATGACATTTCATGTTTAAGCCAAATTCCCTGCCAGGATATTTTCTGCTTTGATGAATGAAGTAGGACTTGGTCACATCTTAAACAGATTCATAGAAGAGCAGTTTAAGCTGCCATCTGATGCATTAAAATAAAGGAAACATGGTATTTTCCCTAAGTTAAATACCTCCTGTGATGCACTTTTTAGATTGTGGAAGGCAATGAGTTCAAGAAAATTTAACATAAAGCTAGACAACGGTTAAGTAAATGAAATCATTGCAAAAACGGAATACATAAATAATAATAAACAAATTTGGATGTTAACTTCTCAACTATACTTTTTGATATAATCCTCAGTAAAATCATTCTTGAAAGTGAAAATGAGCAAGGTGATGGTACAACCAGCAGAAGAAAGGCAGTGCTGATAACCTCTACGTGCTCATCCTCTAAGACTGCATCTTATTGTTCACACAATCTGCTCAAGTTCCCACAAAGGGGCTACCATGACCTGTCTCCTTCTACTACAGCTATACGGGCTGCGGCAGACAACAGCAACTGGGATCAAGGAGACATGTTCTGATTAAATAAACTATATGGAACTCTGTTGCAGGATTTCATGCAACTATTAACTTCATTTTAAAATAAAAGGAAAAAAACCACCCAAATTCAGGGCTAATTTAGCTGTCACTGGACAGTTAAAAAAATAAAACAGTCCTGTTTTAAAAGTTTCATCAATAGAGACAAAAAGGTACTAAGAATGATAGTCATCCTTCCTCATCACTGCTGCTCCAGGCATCTTCAAATGCTGGATTTAACTGTGCTCTGGTTGAAGTCTAAAAAAAGGGGCAAAAAAGAAAGACTCAATTATTCTACCTCATAATTTTAGGCTCACAATATAGTTATGAAATATATCAGATAAAAAGCAACTAGATTATTTTTGAAGAAACTATATAATTGTTAATTTCAAACCAAAAGTTAACAAAAGAAACACCCTGCATACAATATAAAATAATGTAACTTCATTTTAAATAGACATATCAGACTTTATCTAAATTATCTGTTTCCTTCGAAGTAGTTACCTCATACACACACACAGACACGCACAGACACACAGACACAGAGACACACACACGCTGCTGCTGCTATTACTTAAGGCATTTTTACACCTCTTTGGAGTTACCTGGAGAAGAGGGCACATTAATATCCATGTGGCTAAGCCTGGACTCAGGTCTACAGTCTGACTTGAGAGCCCAAATTATTAATGTGAGCAACTTTTTACTGCTTGGATGGCCCTGATTTTTATAAATAAGCAAATATCCACATGTGGGGAATAAGGTGTTCATCAAACAGAGTAATATCATTTTTGGTATTAAGTGGCGAGGTTTATGTATGTATGTATGTATGTATGTATGTATGTATGTAGCTAGGAAAGCAGTTGAAAAAGACAGGTAAAATGTATTAGAAACGGTAACATTTTGTCATTAGCACATAGGTTTCCCTGGGAGATTTCTGTGAAAGAGAACATGCATTAGATGGTATTTATCTAAAATAACAAAACATCACAGTACTCTCACAACTTTAATAATAAACATAATCAGCAACAGAGGAATTTTAATTACCTGTGGTATTTCAAATCAATTCACTTGTCTGGGGAAATTTTTTGAATGGCTAACCTTCTTATTCTTTGGCAAATGATTAAAGGACTTTAAAATGATCTCTTTTTTGAGTATCTGGGCATTATGAGCCACGTGTGCTTCCTACTCTGCAGTTTTTATGTCTGCTGCCAGTTTGTTCAGACTCCAAATCCAATAATGTATTAGTTCTTAGATTATTCTTAAATTATCTTAGATATATTACCTTTTATAACATATAGCAATATTTTATGTTAAGGGTAGCCCCTACTGTATGTCTGAGAATGTTCATTTCCTTTTGATGAACATGATGATTCAGACTCTTAAAATTCAAACAATGATAACAGTAGAAAAAGTGGGTGTTTGCAGTAAATTCCCCAAGTATCAGCCAGGACAGTCAGAAAACAATATGTGAATTTAGGTATTCTTTACAGTTGTTAAAGCTTAGATCTGAGTCCATTACTTAATCTAATGGTGGTATTGTCACCATTACTAAACATAATATTGGCTATTGTCACTTAGTTGCACAAACAAAATTCCATTATACCTGGTGTCCAGATCCAAAACTATTACCAAACCTCAGCAAACTATTCACTTATTTCTAGTAGCAGTCCACTGATTTGCAAGAGTAGCATACTGAAGACTGTTCATTTATTCTTTCATCCAAGTGTTTACTGAATTTCCTACCTTTCTGGGTTTATAATTTAACTACCAAGTTAGGTTATTTAGTGACAGTTTATTTAAAGATGTATTATCCTTAGGGGTTAGGTGATTATTTTTCCCTACTCTAGCTCTAAAAGCCTTTAACTCTGCCTTAGATATCTACCCCAAAATGTCCCTGGGTAGATGAACCATACAAAGGCCATGCCTTCTAATTTCACTATGGAAGCCAAATATGTAACCTATTAAACATTTAAATTTCATTTTAAAAATCAACAGAGAAGCAAAATTATATTTTAATGTAAATTATTGTTGCTATGGTAAGCAAACAAAAATAAGTGAAAATTGGAAAGGCAGTTGCATATAAATTTTACTGTTTATAGCAGTAAAGGATAACAATATGAATATATTACAGTATTATTAGAAGTACATTTTATTGTTAAAAAACACAAATAAAACATCTTACTTGTAATTGAAAGCTTCAGTAAAAATATTATATATGATGTGGTACACATATACTGTTTGAGACCTACTGATCAAGTTAACTACCATCTATTACTTCAGTTTTCTCTACAACATCTCCTCCTAGTGGACATTCTTTCCATGCTTGAACATATCCATCCAGCCTGCCTGTTCTACTGACAGATAGTTGTGAATGTTATGGAGACAGGGAAGCATGAGTTTAAAGGGGATATAGTTCAGGTCCATGTAACAGGAAGGAAGAAAAAAACCAAACTGGACGATCTTCCATACATGCATCTTGATAAATTCTAAATTTCTTACTGGTAATTAGTGGAAAATCTTTATAGGTAGAATATAGGGTTGTTTCAATATAGCAAGTGATTATACATCTACACAAGTGGTAAATAAAACAGCTACATATTGTGTAACTGTCAAAATAAAGTAAGATTCTTGATGAGAGGTCAGATTTAAACTGTAATATAGTCACCCTAGAGATCTCAGCCAGGAAAAAGTGAGTAGAAGTTACATAGGCTTGCTTTGATTGTGACCAAATGTTAGGAAGAGGGGGCAAAAGGAAGGTAGATTCCTCAGAATATAACAAAACAGCCTGCCAATTAAATAATAGGATTTATGCTTAAAGACCATAAAACCTGCCCCTATTGCCCAATGCCCTTCAATTTCTTATGGTAGAACTAAGTTCCTCTTCTATCTTGGATATCAGAAGAAAACACCCCTAAGGGATTGTATCTTGGTTGATGGAGAAGTAAATCGCATCTCAAGGGTGGATTTGAAAGGAAATCTAAGAACAATTTTGCTTTGATGATTCTGATGTTTGAAGATATCATAAACTTGTCTCAGATCACTAATGAATGGCAGAACTGGGATTCGAACCCAGTTACCAGTATTACTATTATTTAGTTTACCTGAAACTATAGACAAAGCGAGTGTGTGAGTATGTGCATGTGTATGCTTTGTTTTGTGTTAAGTTGCCTCTCTGGGGAACTGCAGCAGTCCTTCATTTGATAGGTGAGATGAAAATACTTTTAAATATGAGTTAAATAGTAAATATACATGTAAGGAACAGGGTCTAGTGTAGACAGACTTCTCTATTGGGATCTGCATCGTGATCATATTCATGTTCTACCTACATTCACAGAAATCTTTCAAACTAAAATTTTGTGGAAATAATCTTAGCACTTACCATTTTATATTAATTTGAGAATGGTGCCTATCTTAAAGAATATATACAGTGCATTTGAAAAGGTAAGGTTTCATAGCTCTAAAGCTTAACTATAAAGCTAACCTATTTTTTGTGTACCTCTGTTTGATTTCTACTTGTTCAGCTTAACTTCCCATATACAAAAATTCTTCTAGATGGGGAGTTCAAACTATCACTGTAACTATATAATGAGGAAATAAACCATCAGAGTCACATACTCTCTTTATAAAATAAGCAATTTAGTTTTCTTCTAAATAATATCCTTTTTTCATACATAAGTCAAAGATGTTTTTTTTTTTTTTTTCTTTTGGCGCTGGCCTCTCACTGTTGTGGCCTCTCCCGTTGCGGAGCACAGGCTCCGGATGCGCAGGCTCAGCGGCCATGGCTCACGGGCCCAGCCGCTCGCGGCATGCGGGATCTTCCCGGACTGGGGCACAAACCCGTGTCCCCTGCATCGGCAGACGGACTCTCAACCACTGCGCCACCAGGGAAGCCCAAAGATGATTTATTTCTAGCTTTTTTTTTTTATAGTTTTCATTTGGTGAATGATTGTTAAACTTTCTAACATGGCTTATAGTATTATGAGTTGGATTTAATGTATATAGTAATTCCCAAACAGCAGGACACAGTAATTAAATAATAATGCAAAATCAATGGCTGAACCAAATTATTTGAACATATTAAGCTTTGTACAAAAAAAAATTCAGTATTTAAAGCAGGTGTACACTAAAACTAATCAAAGCCATAATAAATCAAATTAGACACATGATGAAATCTGGAAGATTTCACCTTTAGATAGCTTGACAAAAAAGTAAAAAAATTCAGAGGCTACTACCTAAGACCAGAAATCATGTCTTATTTATCTTTGTTTTCCCACCACATTTTTCAGGTTCTTTATTCACACTGTCATATTTGTACCAGTTTATGCTCTGAGATAGGCACTAACAGACTGCTGGTAGAAGTGTAAACTGATAAAATCTGATAGTGTGAATAAAGAACCTTAAACATGTCATACATGATAACTCAAGAGGTAACACTACTTCTAGGAATCTAACCAAAGAAGTAATCAGAAATGTAAATAATTTTTGAACAGATATTTACCTTGATGTGTTTATAATGATCAAAAGAAATGTCTTCCAATAGGAAAATATTTGAGTAAATTATGGTAAATAAATGACAGAATGCTATATTATTAAAAACAATATTTACAAATACTTATTAATGACATGGAAAAAGTCTTAAGCAGGATGCTAAGCTGTATGTTCAAGCATAATATTAACCATGCTAAAAAGTATGCACAGGAAAAAACAAGAATGAATTAAATCAAAATGTTAATAGTAATTAATAAACTTCAGAAATTTATGTTCTTCTCTTAATATTTTTTTGAGTTTTCCAAATATATTATAGAGGCAAATTATTTTTACAATCACAAAATAGCAAGAAATGCTTTAAAAGTTTCTCTCATATAAAGTAAATTAATAAAAACTTTTTTTATGATTTAGAAGTCACTGTTCAATTTGTATAAATAATATTTTACCTCCTCATCATCAGGAACTGATTCATGTAAGGATGGTATCCAAGCAAGAATATTGCAGTCTCTGCTACCGCTGTAAAGTTCCTATAACACAAAGCAAAGATGTAATTGTAGGTCACTTTAAAGCTGGTGCCAATCTGAAATAAATGACATCAATTTTTAGATGATTATTTCTTAGGTTAGATTAATTAAGATTAATTCTATTTCTACTCCCCAAAGAAACTGGGCTGATGTTTTTTTCTGTTTAAGATGTAGTAAAGACTTGTTTTGTATTTAAAAATAGTATTATGATATGTTAACATGTTGCTAACATGTTAAAATTCACAAAAACAATCACTGTAATTTTTAATCAATCATAATATCCTTTTTTTTTTTTTTTTTTTTTGCAGTACGCGGGCCTCTCTGTGCTGTGGCCTCTCCCATTGCGGAGCACAGGCTCAGCGGCCATGGCTCACGGGCCCAGCCGCTCCGCAGCATGTGGGATGTTCCCGGACCGGGGCACGAACCCGTGTTCCCTGCATCGGCGGGTGGACTCTCAACCACTGCGCCACTAGGGAAGCCCCATAGTATCCATTTATTTCAAGTGTCAGAGAATGAGAAAAAAATGGAAGAAATAAATTTCGTCCTTTTAAAGACTTCAATGAAGAAACCATACGAGTTTCTAGCTAAAATAGACCAAAAGTTCAAAAAAAGAACTCAACTAAAGAGCATTAAGACATATACGCCATGCTTGCTGAGAAGCTTATTTTATAAGCAGCTTGGGCTGATGCACAGTCAGTGTCTATGTCTTTATGGATATGCTGCCTGCACATGCTGAACAATGTTCATTCACCTCCCCAGAAAACTTCAGAAATATGTTATATTGGCTAGTACTGAAAATATTCCTATGCAGCAGTGAAATAGATACGCTCCCATACAGAGGGTATAAATTGCTATAATCTTTTCAGAGAATGAAATCTCAACATGTGTCAGAAGTTTCTGTATGCATTTCTAGGAAGTCATGCCAAAGATACACATGAAATTCAAGGATATTATCATCAATATTATATTTATAATAACAAAAATAATAATTTTCCAAAAATTATTGTCCAGGGTAATGATTTCTAAATTTATGCTGCATTAATATGATGTGATATTACATAATCACTAAATTTATTTTTGAAGAATATTTAATGACAGTGGAAAATATTCATATTGTCAAGAGAAAGGAGCAGGATGTAAACCAAATAGTCATAGAGTGAAAAGAAAAAAACAGGATGTAAAATACTAGGTCAATTTTTTAAAAAGCTACTAAGCAAAGAGGAAGGGCTAAAAAGAAAAAACAGCAAAATGTTAAGTGGTTATAAACCTCTGACTGACTAAATGTTTATTTTTCTCACAAATATATTTCTACACAAATATTTCTAACACTGTAACTTTTTTTTCCTGTTCTGGTATGAAATTATTTAGTTTTACTGTTACTCATCTCAAAAGCTATTTGAGGCATGGTACAATCAGTATTTTTCTAAAAAAAAAATGTAAAAGTTCTGGGTAAAGGGAAAATAAGATTATGAAGTGATTTATAGGAAATATAGATATAAAGAGAATTAAGTAAATTACATTTAGTTACACATTATCAGATTTCCTAAATGGAACAAAATTCTACAGACTGCACTGTTAAATCTAGAATGTATGGTTACACTAACTATGGATGATGCAAAGATATTTTCATATGCTCAGTGCCCTAGAGCAATTTAGTTTCCTGAGAAGATATATACCCAAGATACACTAAGGTCAGATAACCTTGTCTTATGTTTCCTCATGATTAAATTCAGGTGATATATCTCTGCCAGGAATATCACACACTTTGATAATTTGATTAAGCTGATGTATGCCAGTCTTCTTCAAGGTAAAATTACTCATTTTACCTTTGTAATTAATATTTTGTAGGGTGCTACCTTGAGATTATGTAAATTCCTCATCAGACTTTCAATTTATTACTTACTAATAGCAGAATGGACTCATGGATTCCTATTTTAGTCAAAGGGAAATAATCAGTTATTATCATTATTTATTTTGATGTTGGGTATATATTTTCAAATTTTTACATTTATGATAGAATTACTATAAATATCAATTTTATTTTCAGATAGTGGGTTGTGTGTAACATGTAATTGGTTAAAAGGGTTCTGATGCTGAATGGAGGCAAAAATACTACTCTCCTTTACTTTTATAATTTAGATTTATAATTATTTTCCTTTTCAGAAATCATAATAGGGATAAGAGTTGGAAGCTTTCTGATGTAATGCAGTGATTCAAATCTTTCTTAGGGCACAGCACATATAGAAATGGTATTTGTCACACTTCCCTGGTGGTGTAGTGGTTAAGAATCTGCCTGCCAATGCAGGGGACACGGGTTCGAGCCCTGGTCCGGGAAGATCCCACATGCTGCGGAGCAACTAAGCCCGGACACCACAACTACTGAGCCCATGCAGCACAACTACTGAAGCCCATGCGCCTAGAGCCCGTCCTTTGCAACAAGACAAGCCAGTGCAATGAGAAACCTGTGCACCACAACAAAGAGCAGCCCCTGCTCGCCACAACTAGAGAAAGTCTGCGCACAGCAACGAAGATCCAATGTAGCTAAATAAATAATAAATAAATAAATTTAAAAAAAAAAAAAAAAAAGGAATGGTATTTTCCAGGAGGCAACTGGCCCCAGCTCTCTGGCTATCCTAGGCTTGTCACAGCTATTCCAGGGACTGAAGGGAATCAAATATGTGGACATACTTTCAATACATTCTAGGAAGCTCTGATTTGGTGGAAAGCAACAACTGGTAGTCAGAATACCTGTGTTAAAATCTTGGCTGTGTCTCTAAGTGACTCTGGATAAGAAAAGAGGTACTGTATTCTAAGAATTTCTTTGAATGGATAATCATGCTTTGTCAATCTACTTGCAGATCTGAGGCAAGTCACATCACCCCTCTGGTTGCCTTAGTAGCCTTTTCCCAGAAGTAACACTAAAAATATTTAATAATTGGTACATCAGGACACTGGCCAATCCGAAGAGATACTGGAGCAGAGAGGGAGCAGGGTCTGAAGGTCCCTCTTAGTTACTGGGTCTAGGAGGCCCCAGGGAAGGGGGTGAAGCTGGAAGTCACTTAGGGAGCTTAGTACAACAGCTATGTAACAAACAGCAGGATATGAATTTGAGTATTTTAATAATGGATACTGCCATGCTGATGTGTGCTGTATATCTTACTTCACAGCGTCAGACACAAATTAAGTAATGAGTATTAATGAATGAATGAATAAGGTGATAAATTCCCTCCTAGCTCTAATAACCCATAATATTCATTCTTTCAGTATTTAATTTTCATGAGCCTCATTTTCATTATCTACGATGCAGGGAAAATACCAACAATCTTGCTACATTAGGGACTCATTTAAAGGAACATATGAGGTAATCTATGCAAACGTTCTATGAAAAAACCAATCTGCTCCATTGGTGAGATGAAAGAGAAAGGTTAGGATGTTAAACAAACAAAAACCATAGGTATTTAAGAAATTATGTAAGTTGCATCAACACTAAAGTAAACTTATTAGTCATTGGCAGAAAATAAGAAAAAAATAAAATTTCAGACATTCACACATACGTAAATCAAGATACAAAAACTATATTTTGAGATGAGACACATATGTTTCATTTTTTTCCCAAAAGCTCGTTTGCAAGAAATTATTTTAATTTGCCAGAGATTTTCAACTGCCAAATAAATGGAGCCCATATACAAAAGAAAGAATTTATCCCAGTCAAGTTGCACAGTATTATATTGATTCACAGAGACATCCTATGCCACCTAAAAAAAATCTATCCTCTATTTAATAAACTCTAGCTCAGATGTGGATAAAAAGTATAATTCCTTAGAATGAAATTGCAATTTACTCTTTTATATACAACTACTCCGGCAAGCTAGCTACCCGAACATTCTAAATTCCCCTAAATATCATTCTTACCTGGAAATTAGACTGAAATACACAGCAGTCAACACTTTTATAATGTCCCTTAAGCATAGTTATCTGTTCTCCTGAGTAAACTGTATAAACAGCAATGGTGCTACCATATGGTACAAAAACAAATTCTGAACTGCAGCCACAGGAGACAGTGAATTTCAATCCTTTTCTACTGTCATTACACACTTTTCCATAGTTCACCTGTAGGATGTAAAAGCATACAGTTACTTACTTAAATCTGAATTAAAAAGACAACAAAGATAGGAAAAAATATTTACTTAAAATATTCTACTATAGAAATGACTCTAGTAAGTCTAAAAAAAAAAAGATCCATGTCCTAATAGGAATAAGGGCCAATGACATAAATGTACATTTCATATACGAGGGAAACACAAATAGTAAAAAGACCCACAAAAACAAATGTTCACATTTCAATTGTGATAGAAATAAAAATGCAAATTAAGGCAACCTTGAAGAATCATTTTAGACCATTTAGCAAAAATTTTAATAAACCATTGAGACACTCAATACTAGTACAAGTGAGGTAAACGTGTAGGTGGCACCACAATTTGATCATTCTTTCTAAAAGGCCAAATGGTTTATTATGCAACAAAATATAAAAGTATACTTTATGTATATGTATATATATATATACACACACACGTATATGTATATACTCCCTCCAGAAAAAAAAATTAAATATATACACACATACATATATAATATATATATATATTTTTGAAGGGAGGATAACTTTCTTTTTATTTATAACATTTTAAATTATGATAAAATACACATAACATAAAATGTGCCATCTTAACCACAATTTAAGTGTACAGTTCAGTGACATTAAGTATATTCACATTGTTGTGCAACCGTCACCACTATCCATTTTCCATCTTGCAAAACTGAAACTCTGTACCCTTTAAACAACAAAGACATTATTCCTTGACGTAGTAACTATTACTGGGAATTTATCTTAGGGAAATAATTAAACAGCAAAAAGGTACATGCCGAGAGGAATTCAATTCCACACTATCTAGAATGGCAAAGTAACTGAGAATAGATGTAAATTCCTAATAGTGTTATATTAACTCTACAGTTTATATAGAAATTAAAAAAATCATAAGTATGAAAATTATGCAGAAAATAGGGATAAAAGTTAAGTATAAAAAAGCAAAGAACACAAATACTGTGTATACTACAATTGCAGCTTCTTATAAATAATTATATATTTGGGACAAAAACAAAAATTCTACACCTGTAAGTCAAAGATGCAAGACCAACAACATCAGCATCACCCGAGCAGTTAGAAACAAATTCTAGGCCCCATCGCAATCTACTGAACTAGAATCTTCATTTTAACAAGATCCCTAGATGTTCTGTAGGTCCATCAAAGTCTGAGAAGCTTGGGGATAAAGGTTTACTTCCTGGTGATAATTTAGATAAGAAGCTTAGGGTAAGTGTAAAACCAGTATCTAATCATTTAGGAATTATGAGCAAGCAGATCACCAATATCTCCCTTCACTATGGCTAATAATGGAGTTTAAACAGACAGTGACTGATTTGCCTTCTTCTTTTTCTAAAGGTTGGGTGGGAGTGTGTGTGTGTGTGTGTGTGTGTGTGTGTGTTTCTGTGTATAAACAAACACTGAGGCTCAAATGGATATATACTGATAATTGTGGATACTACATTCGGCTTACCCACCCTCGAGGTTAACATGTGACAGAAATGAGCATGTGTGTTCAACTATCTCAATGCTGCAGCGGTACAGTGAAATGTTAAAACATTAAACTTATAATCAGTAGACTTCAGTTTTTGAAACCCACTCCACCCCTCCTTTGCCTCTTATGAGTAATGAATGATTTAACCTCTGAGTTTCATTCTTCTAATCTGTTAAAAGGAAATAACATCATTTACCAGAGCTATTGTGAAAAATAAAATGAAATAATGCAGGGACTTGTCTGGTGGCGCAGTGGTTAAGACTCCACACTCTCAATGCAGGGGGCCCGGGTTCAATCCCTGGTCAGGGAACTAGATCCTACAGGCATGCCGCAACTAAGAGTTTGCATGCCACAACTAAGGAGTCCGCCTGCCGCAACTAAGACCCAGTGCAACCAAATAAATATTTTTTAAAAAATGAAATAATGCATAAGAAAACACTTAGGATATAGAAGTATTCAGTGAGTCCTTAGATTTATTAATTCCTATATATTTAAAAGAATAACATTCCCTCATTTGTGTCTTTTGATTCTCCATGCACAACAATTTGTAGAATAACACTGTGGGGTGGGGAGGTGGGGTGAAGAAAAAACACAAATCTCAACTAGCAATTCTCTGTTCCTCCTGGAAAAATTATGAACTGCTAGAATGTGATGGTCTTATTCACACATCAGAACACCTACCTACAAAACCTATTTTCTTTCCACTATACCACATTCCTTCCCAAATGTGAACTGGAAAGTGTTCAATGAGGTATAAATACTGAACCAGCTAATTAACTTTTGTCTTTGTCCTTAGGCGTTCCCCCTGCAATCCATCTTGCAACTTACTGTCCTATTAATCTTGGTAAATCACTGCTGTGATCAAATCACCTGTGGGCTCAAAACTATCAATATCTTTTCAATGCCTATGGAATGAAGTTCTAGTAACAGGTGAAGGAAAGGAGAGATCTACCAATTACTAAGTGCTTAGTGTCACACACTGTGCTAGGTGATTATCTAAGCTCCCCATTTTATGACTATAAACACTTACCATAAAAAGCAGTATGTGACAAATATCATGCTATATATTATGAAAGTATTGAAGAAGAACAGGGTACTTTTGGTTATGATGTCTTAAAGGTGGTATGTACAGTCTTTGAAAAGATTCTGATAGGGGAGGAAATTTTCATAGATGTGGGATAGGATGATGGCAAACACAGTTCCCTATCTTATGAATCCCTTTTATTGTTCCAGGAAATATATACATCTAGTCACTGAATAAATACCTACAGTGATGCCGAGATTCTGTCATAAGGCAGCCCATTTCACTGTCAAACAACTATCAGCATAATTAATAATAATGACAGGTAATGTTTACTGAGTGTTAACATTTGCTGTAAGTATCAGACAATGTGTTAAATATTTTACATGCATTATTTCATATAATATGCAAAACAATACTATGAGATAGGTAGCATTATTAAACAAAAAGAAAACACTTAGAAAGGTTAAGTAAGTATTTCGATCAAGGTCTCTTGGCTAGTAAGTGACAGAATCAGAAACTGAAATCTAGACTATACTAACCAAAAAGCACTGTGCCACACTGTGGTAAATTATTTTTCTTTAATTCCACTAAGTGATGATCACAGTCTACTGTAATACAAGTGAGCACTGGGTACTCTGGAAGCAGGTAAGCCAGACTAGAGGAGTTAAAAAGAGATTGTGCCTGAAATGAATCTTGAAAGCTGAGAAGCAGCTAGGACAGGAAGGAGGAGACGGTATTCCAAAGCAAAGGCAGCAGTCGACGCAAAGAATGGAAGGGTGAGAGAGCATATATTTAAAGACCTTTAAGTAGCTCAGTATGGCTAAGGACACGGGAAAAAATGGGGAAGTGGCAAGATATAAAGCTAGTGAGTTAGAAGGGACAGCTTATGAAGGCCTTGTGCGCAACAGGCAAAAATATTCAGTTTTCATAACCTTAAAGTTTACTGAGGAAACACTTTCACTGGGAGATGAGTTTGGGAAAAGTTAGACGGACGTTAGAGTAATTAAAGAGACCATGAGGGCCCAAAGTGAGGCTGGAAGGGAAGAGAGCTAAGAAATAAATTATGAAGAAACAATTAAGAGGACTTGTAAATGATTTAATAGCTGGGATAAGGGAAGGGAAGAATAAAGGATAGACTCCCACTTTCTAGCCATTGGTGACTGGGTGAATGATAACACCAATAACTAAAACAGTAAACACCAGAATAGCTATTTTAAAATTTTGTTGCTGTGCCAAAAGCTGTCTCTCTGTGAATTTTCCCTGTAGGTAGAGTTTTCTGTACTGTAAGGGAATGGTTTCCAGAGTGCAGTTGGCACCTCAAAGACTCTGTAAGATGATCCATTAAGGTATGAGGGGAAAATATGAGAATTTCTATTTCATTTTTAACTAAAAAATAAGAAATTAAGCTTTAATAAAATATATGGACTCACAACAGTACGTGTATATAATTTATAAATAATTATACATATATTGGAAGCATGTACTTATACATTTTTCTTAAATTATAAGGGTGCTACCAATAAGGCAACACCATACAATAAAAAGTTATCATTTATGATATGCCTATTATTTAGCAGGTACAGTACTACTCTTAACATACTTCCATTTTGCCCTTACAATTACTGTTTAGGTACCTAATAATCCTGATTTACAAGATGGAGACACTGAAACTCTGACCATAGTCCTTCATGATCTCACCTTAAATAAATTGCCTACTACCCAAATTACTAAATGGCAGGGCTGAAATTTGCTTACTATTCTGTCTGACAGCACTTTAAGTGTTTGAATACAGTGTGCTTCCCCTGAAGAGTTACTTTTTTGGGATCAATGTCCCAATTCCTTTAAGTGTTCTTTGTAGGTGAGTTTCTGGGCCACTTGAGTATTTTTGCATGAATGACTTTTCCTTTGATCAAGTCCTTTTTAAAATGTATTATCCATTCTAAACACACTATTCAAAATATGGGCTTACTAGCAAAAATCCACAGAGTATGAGTATCACCACCTTCAAGATGGAGAGAAAAATGGAATAAAATCACATTAACCATTTATGTATGTACTCAATACCATTTATTTCTATCACATTCACCTTTGATGCACATGTAACCTACTTTTCCAAAATGACCCTGTCACTTTTCCACTCAAAAGCCTTGAGTGGCTTTCTATCTCACGCATAGAAAAAGCCGAAGCCCTTACCAAGGGCTACAAGCCTGTAAGCTCTGGTATCCTGTTCCTTCTGTTGCTTATCTCCTATTACTCTTCCCTTTGCTTACTCTAGTCTAACACAAGAGCCCCATACATGCTCCTTGGGTATCCCAAGCATGCTCCTGCCTCAGGGTCTTTGTACTTTCTTTCTTCCTCTTCCTGGAATGCTCTCCCTCCCAGGTGTTGGATGGCTCACTCCTTCATTTCCTTAAGGCCAAACGTCATCTTCTGAGTCAGACCTAGCCTGACTGCCCTAGGTAAAACATCAACTCCAGCTTCTTAATATTTTCTATGCTCCCTTCCTTGCTTTGCTTTTCTTTATAGTACTTACTGCACCGAGTATATATTTTACCCATTCATCCATCCATCCATTCATTGACTGATGGATGTCTTTCTTTCTCTCCCTGGAACGTAAGCTCCACAAGGATAGAACTTTTCTATGTTTTGTCTATTCCTGTATAATACTGCCTGGAAAATAGGAAGTACTCAATAAATTCTTATTAAACAAATGAATAAAATGAGAAAAAGGAAGGTGTGACCTGATTAGGGACATGGTACAATATAATGAGTGGGAGATTCTAAATTAAAATTTGCAATATCTGAGTTTTTAGCCTGAGACACGATGGAGAAGCATTTCATAAAGAATAAGAGGGATTAGCAAACCCTAAAGTAATCTGGCACAAACAATTCTGACCTTAAAGTTAGTTTTTAATAATAAAAGTGATACCTAGAATATCTAAGAATTAGCTAGAAAGGATGATTAAAGAAAGGAATATGATTAATATTAATATGAACCTTAAGGTAGTTAATAAATGCTTTAAGGGGTCTGGGTATAATCAGCATTATGGCAAGAGTAGAATCTAGAGTCAAACTCTGTTGCTTTCTAGCTATGTAAATTCAGGCAAGTTACCTAATTTTATGTCTTATTTTCCTTATGTGTAAAATGGGTGTTATAAGAGTAACACCCTTCAGAGTGTTGATGTGGTGATTAAACAACACCATGTATACTCTGGCACATATATTAAATGTTAATTTTTATTAGCGTAGTAAATGGCACATAAGCTCTCAATAAATATTAACTATTAGTATTATTGCCAAATTATAAACTTTTGGTAGCTTATTCTGAAAGTGACTAAACCAGAGGTACATCTGGTAAGGACTATAACATAAATTTTTAAAAAGACTAAAAATTAATTACCACATAAGAATCTAGCACTTGTATGGAGAGGGTGTGGAGAAAAGGGAACCCTTCCACACTGTTGGTGGAAATGTAAATTGGTGCAGCCACTATGGAAAACAGTATGGAGGTTCCTTAAAAAACTGAAAATAGAGTTACCATATGATCCAGCAATCCCACTCCTGGGCATATAATGGGAAAAGATGAAAACTCTTATTAGAAAAGATACATGCAGGCTTCCCTGGTGGCGCAGTGGTTAAGAATCCGCCTGCTAATGCAGGGGACATGGGTTTGAGCTCTGGCCAGGAAGATCCTACATGCTGTGGAGCAACTAAGCCTGTGCGCCGCATCTATGGAGCCTGCGCTCTAGAGCCCATGAGCCACAACTACTGAGCCTGCATGCTGCAACTACTGAAGCCTGTGTGCCTAGAGCCCATGCTCCACAACAAGAGAAGCCACTGCAATATGAAGCCCACACACCGCAACGAAGAGTAGCCCCGGCTCGCCGCAACTAGAGAAAGACCACGCAGCAATGAAGGGCCAACGCAGCCAAAGATAAAATAAATAAAAATTAAAAAAAAATAAAAAAGAATTAAAAAAAGAAAGAAACATGCAACCCAATGTTCATGGTGGCACTATTTACAATAGCCAAGACACAGAAGCAACCTAAATGTCCATCGACAGATGAATGGATAAAGAAGATGTAATATATATATATATATATATATATATATATATATATATACACAATGGAATATTACTCAGCCATAAAAAAGAATGAAATAATGCCATTTGCAGCAACATGGATGGACCTAGAGATTATCATACTAAGTGAAGTGAGTCAGAGAAAGACAAATATTATATGATATAATTTATAGGCAGAATCTAAAAATGAGTACAAATGAACTTATTTACAAAACAGAAACAGACTCACAGACATAGAAAACAAACCCATGGTTACCTAAGGGGAAGGTGAGCGGATAAATTAGTTGTATGGTATTAACAGATACACATTACCATATATAAAATATATAAACAACAAGGATTTACTGTATAGCCAGGAAACAATATTCAGTATCTTGTAATAACCTATAAAGGAAGAGAATTGAAAAAAAAAGATATACACATATACATATGTATAACTGAATCACTTTGCTGTACACCTGAAAGTAACACAATACTGTAAATCAACTATACTTCAATTAAAAAAAAAAGAATCTAGCACTTTTAGAACACATCTATTCCAATTACCATATGTTTTCATACTATAACATTCATTTTGGATTTTTATTTATTTATTTATTTATGGATGGCTGCGTTTGGTCTTCATTGCTGCGTGTGGGCTTTCTTAGTTGCACTGAGTGGGGGCTACTCTTCATTGTGGTGCGTGGGCTTCTCACTGCGGTGGCTTCTCTTGTTGCGGAGCATGGGCTCTAGGCACGTGGGCTTCAGTAGTTGCAGCACGCAGGCTCAGTAGTTGTAGCACGCGGGTTCTAGAGCGCAGGCTCAGTAGTTGTGGCGCACGGGCTTAGTTACTCTGCGGCATGTGGGATCTTCCTGGACCAGGGATAGAACCCGTGTCCCCTGCATTGGCAGGTGGATTCTTAACCACTGCGCCACCAGGGAAATCCCTCATTTTGGATTTTGTTTAAAAGTCAGATATAGTATAAAATTTGACTAACTTTATAGCTTTAATTTATATCAGTTGTTCTCAATCTTTTATTCTTCTACAATATACTTGAGAGAGATGGCACGCTCCCATTATACACAGTGGCTCAGTAGAGCAATGATTCTACACTAAGTGGGGAGAATGTGGTGGGGTGAGGTGGGGCGGGTTGTCCTGAGTTGAGAATTACTAGTTCACATAATGGAAAAATATTATATAAAGAAAGCTGTGACTCAGAGGCAAGAAACAAAGTCAAATCTACAGAAAAACACCAAGTGTTAAGTCACAGATTCATTTCTTTAATGTAGATCCAAAACATTCAAGGTACTTAAAATGTCTTACTAGTGTGTTTTCTCCATTGGAACTATTCCAGAGCCTCATTCGATTATCTGTACCAACAGTGAGGAGGTGAAGCCCATCACTTGTAAAACATAAGCCATTAACTTTCCCATTATGAGCAGTGTTTGCTGCAATGAAAAACACAATTCAGTTTATCTGTTCTTATAAATTCAACACACACTTAATGCTTGATGATATAGTTATTTAAACATATTAAAGGAAAACTATCTGAATTATCTAAATATAAGTTGATTATATTTAAAACTAATCATCCCTTTGGATTACTTGAACATAAGCTATATAAATTAGAACCATAAAAGCAGAGGAAAATAGGAAAAGCAAAGGGAGAAAATCCTGCCAAATATAATTTTTCTTCAGAGCGTAAGCTGTGCTATCAAACTCAATTAACTGCATAAACTTACCACTAAAATTTTAAATTGAAAATTAAACTTCTTATATATTATTTCCATTTGCAATCTAAAAATCATTCCATGGACTATTAAAAATCAATAATACTAAAAAAAAGAAAAAAAATCAATAATACTAGTATTTGCCACTTAAAGAAGTGTTATAGTCTCAATCAAAATTTATATTACTTTTAAAATGAACAGGTTTGAGAAAGTGTAATTCTCAATAACCTGATTAATTTAATTTAAAAGATTATTAAAACAATCATAGGTTTTATATAGTTCAACCTAATGTACTTCTGGTCCCAATTTAATTCTGAATCAGAATTTTAACCTACACAGAAATTAAATTCCATTATAAAAATGCAATCGAGGTACTTTGTCACCTGGATTGCAGTGGACTCAAATTAAACACAACTTGCAAATTTTGTGACAAAATGGACACAAAATATTACCATTTCTTTAATTTACTGTAACTTCCTAAATTGCACTGAATTTGTATTAGTTGGCCTCATGTGAGGAAAAAAATAAAATGACAAGTTAATCCAGAAAAGTTTCTACATTCAAAAATCCAGGGGCAGAAGAAATGCCATACTTACTTGTATCTTTTAGTTTCTTTATTTATTATTTTTTTTAAAGGCCACGCCACACAGCATGCAGGATCTAGTTCCCTGACCAGGGATCAAACCTGGGCCCCCTGCATTGTGAGCACAGACTCTTACCCACTGGACCATCAGGGAAGTCCCCTTACTTGTATCTTAAAGAAAGACAACCATAACTTATATATACTACCAAATGTAAAATAGACAGCTAGTGGGAAGCAGCCGCATAGCACACAGGGAGATCAGCTCGGTGCTTTGTGACCACCTAGAGGGGTGGAGAAGGGAGGGTGAGAGGGAGACGCAAGAGGGAGGAGATATGGGGATGTATGTATAGCTGATTCACTTTGCTATAAAGAAGAAACTAACACACCATTGTAAAGCAATTATACTCCAATAAAGATGTTAAAAATTAAAAAAAAATTTTTAAAAAGAAAAAAAAAGCTCACTGGAATCCTTAGTAAAAAAAAAAAGAAAAAAAAAGACAACCATAATTTAGTTGATGTAAATTTAGAAACTGATTTGTTGTGAATGCCTTTTTAAAAAAAACATAAAATCTACAATTTGTCAACATACATTTATTATTTGGTTTCAATTCAAAAATTTCAATATAAAAATACTATCAATGCCATATTTCTATATTAATGTGTTTTTCATTACCTGATTCAACTGCTTGTGACTTTTCCCCATTATGCTGATCAAGAGTAATCAAACATCCTGATGCTCTCCTCACATCCCATAATTTTGCTTTACTGTCAGCACTGAGAAGACATAAATGTTACATTAACGTGTATAGCTAGGATAATAACTGTACTCCTCACCCACCTTTCCAGTATTATGGCATACAGAGGTCTCAGTATATTAGCACAAATGTATTTGTACATTTGGATGGTTGTACTTTTGCCTTTCCAGCAAATATTCAATAGTCAATAGTAGCACAAAGAAGTGAAAAAATAGAAAAAAAAAAAAGTAAATCACAAGGATGGAATTCTGCTGTTTCTTGTTGTTTTTAATGACATGAGCATCTTCCTCTCCAAAGACTAGACAGGCTTAGAGCTTTGTTCCTTGGCAAATGTGTTACTATATCTGTTCTACTGTTTGTTATTCAAATGTTGCCTAGATAATCAAGCAGTGAACTAATTTCACTTTGCTTAAGAATCCATTTGGTAGGAATATGGTTTTTCTTTTTTTATGAAAAAAATTAAGAATAAGGTGAATCATAAGGACAAAATATTTTTATTTGGTTTCCTGTACTCAAATCAATCTTTGCCAGATATACAAGAAATAAATTTAATGTCTCCTTGAAATTCGACACTTATTTTCATTTTATTTCAAGTGAAACGAAAAAAGGTAAAACCATGATCATATATCAATTTCAGCTTCTAAACTACTACTAAAGAAAATATAAATCAGTTCAACTGATGCTACCATATCCTCACAAAGCCCTCAATAATATTCTAACCTGTTGGGTTTATCCAGGTCATTTTAATTAGAAAGAGTATTACGCTGCATTTTATAAACTTATTTCTCATTTATAAACCTTTAAAAAAATATCTATACAGGGTTTATCTCTTCCCATAACTTTGGTTATTTTCACAGATCACCATCAAACGTAGCCAATTAGAATAGTTGGCAAAAAGTTAGCATTTTCCATTCTCAATTTGGTTTTCTTTCTTTCCAGCTGGGGAATAGGTCTGCAATGGGAGGAGTCTGAGGACTTAAGTCTCTTCTGAAACAGATTAGATATGCACATAACTAACTCCTAACATTGATTACTAGGTCCATTGTAGTACTGATTCAAATTCCTGGGGTACTCTGAGAATTGAAAGCCTCAGTTTCCCTCCTGATTTGAGGAAAACCAAATTAGAAACAATGTAAATCCAGTCTAGCATGGACCCACAAGTAGTGCCTAGCTCCTCACCTTCACACCTCTTTGGGCAGCCTTCTTATGGCTACATTCTACACTTTGTTCTACTTCAGAAATCATAAATTTCAATGTCACATTCTGCAAACTACTAACAGAAGCTTCTCTGAGGAATAGACTGTGACAGAGAGGAAGGGCTGGCTGCTATACAAATATTGAGACATCTCTTTATAAGACTAATAAAAGTAGTTTTTGTAATAATTCTTCTGCAAAAAGTTTTATTAAAATGTCTGTATCAAAATTTGATTACTACTTCCTGTCCCTTCAGTTTTTAAATTTTCTTATCAACACTCATGCTTGTATCTCATTAGGTCCTTGATCCTTCCTATAAGCCTTTTGGTGATTTTATTTCCTTCCTTATACCTGTGACTTGAACGATTTTTAGACAATTGTTAAGTCTGTGTCATTCAATGTTTTGATTTCTGTGGCTTAGTACAGCTGTGGGCTACACCTTCGATAGAGCACAAAATACTGACCAGCAATCCTATGTGCCCTTAATCAGCTCCTTCTTCCATTCATTAAAACTGTTATTCCAAATCTTTAACTACCTTCCCTGAAAATTGCATCCTATTCCAGTATTTTCAATAGATGACATCAAGTTCTATTCACTAAAAAACAACAGAGGCCACTGGGTTCACATTTCTTGAGCTTCTCTGCCAAAGTCACAAATTTAATTGTATTCATGCCTTTTTCCTCCTTCCATTTAGTCTCATGATACCCTTCATGTGTCAAATCAGTGTCCCCTTCTATTGGGACCCTTGATATTACCCTCTCTTGTCTAGTCAAGGTCCTGATGTACCAATTATTCCCTCCATTTCTTCCTTTTTAAAAAAAAATTAATTAATTTGTTTATTTATTTATTTATGACTGCGTAGGGTCCTTTCTGCTGCACGTGGGCTTTCTCTAGATGCGGCGAGCAGGGTCTACTCTTCATTATGGTGCATGGGCTTCTCATTGTGGTGGCTTCTCTTGCTGTGGAGCACAGGCTCTAGGCACACAGGCTTCAGTAGTTGCAGCACGCAGACTCAGCAGTTGCAGCACGTGGGCCCTAGCGTGCGCGGGTTTCAGTAGTTGTGGCGTGCGGGCTTCAGGAATTGTGGCTCATGGGCTCTAGAGTGCAGGCTCAGTAGCTGTGGAGCATGGGCTTAGTTGCTCTGCAGCATGTGGGATCTTCCCAGACCAGGGCTCAAATCTGTGTCCCCTGCATTGGCAGGCAGATTCTTAACCATTGCGCCACTGGGGAAGTCACCCCTTCATTTCTTATCTTCACTAATTTCTCTCCAGCGATACTTTTCCGTCAGCATTTAAATATGTAAGACTCTTCCTTTCAGCAAACAAAACCCCCAACCCCCCTGATCCTCAAGAGTTAAGTGCTTTTAACACAACACTGTAAAACAACTATACCCCAATTAAAAAAAAAAAAAAAAGAAAAGAAAAAGAGTTACGTGCTCTTGTTCTTTTTTCCCATATTATACCTACCAGAGACATATCTCTATTAAAGCATTTTTCAGGATGTTCTGAAATCACTGATTTTTCTGACTATACCCCCTCATTAGACTATTACCTTCTTGAAAGGACTACGCCTGTGTTACCTCTGTGTCCCTAGCACAATGCTTGGCACATGACAGGAGTCATTAAATGTTAGTAAACTGAATCAATGAGTGGATGAATGTGCTGAATCAGATTCAAAATAATTTTGGGTTAAAGAAAATGAATTAAAATGCTACTATTCTTAAATTGACAGTGTTACACTTTTGTAAGCAAAAATGACACAATACAGTTGTTTCATGGGTAGTACTAGTAGATTTGCATTGCTACATAGATTCTGTTGTTTTCTCTGTTTTACAAAGTGAGCACCTTCAAGATAGATAGTCAGGATTAAGATTATGATGCAAAGGAAGATTTCTTTTGGTGATATGAATTAAAATCTGTAACTCAATTATCTTATTTTCTAGGACCTACTTAGCAACTAAATATGTGTCTAACATAAAAACAGTCTTTCCAAAATGCTTATCATTAATTATTAACTTCAAAACCAAATAATTTGCATTTTACCTTGCAGTTGCCAAGATATACTCATAACGCGGTGACCAGGAAACTGCCAATATTTCTTGTCTGTGACCTGCAAAACAACTGTATAAAATGACTTGCAAAATATTTGAAAAAAATCAAAAGATACAGTGCAATTAATTTTGTTGGATTATGAAGAAAGCATAGACTAAATCTTAAAAATAAATTGATACAATCATGATTTTTTTCACATTTATAATAATCTATATTTAAATATTAATGTGAAGTCTATGGGGCATTTCTCACAATGCTATTTTATTATAAAAGGTCTGGGTTTGCTTTGGAAAAAACATTCAGAGCAAGTGAGTCTGTCTTTTCAAATACAGGTGTTAGCCTAGCAAGTCTATCTATTAATAAGTGATATAGCTCAAGCTTACTTACTTATCTCTACAACAAAATCCCTGCAACAAACCACCATACAAGATAAACATTCTAAAGAATAAAAATGTTCTCTAAGTTTTCAGAAAGTTATAACAGAAAAAAATTATTTTAAATCATGATTGTAAAAGGTATTTATATAAAAATTTTTATCTAGAAAGCACAAGTGATAAGTTCATAGGATAAGTGATTTCAGCATTTTAATTCACTTCTACCTAACTAAACTATTCAAATCATATATTTTCATCTACCTAGCTTATATTCATAGAAATTCATGATAATGTAAAACAAATGTTATCCATCTCACCAAGTTTTCCTGATATATTTATTATGTGTTTCTCAGAGATGAATAAAAATAGTATATCTGAATTACATCCTATTTTTTCACTGTTTAGAATTAGATGATCTAATACTAATAAAAAAGTAGCAAAAATAATTTAAGCTAGTAAAACTTTACCGAAGTATTATTTCAATACCTTTTTCTAAAATATTTTTACTGAGAAAAGAAGCACCTAAATATTAAGAATGTTTACTCAGCCAGAACAATATTAAAAAAATGCTCATGGAGACAAATGTACTGATGTAAGTTTCATAAGTAGTTCATTTTTTTCAATGTAGAAATAACACACGGTTTTTGAGTTAGACTTTCTATATTCTTTGAGCTTCCCCTTGGCTACTGTACATAAAAATGTCTCCTCAATAGTTTAGTTTTATAACAATAATGCACAAAAGGATCTTTAATTCCCTGCTGACTTCTAACAACTAGCACAAAATACATCAGTCATGTCACTTATAAAGAATACATTGTTAATAATGTTTCATTTTGTTGAATGGTTTATTCAAAGTAGTTGTTGTTTCAAATACCCTGTAGAATGTGGGAACAGGATCCAGACTTTAAGTCACAAAGTTGTACTTTGGGCCCTCTAGTACCAACTGTAAAAACAAAACAAAAAAAATAGTTTAAGATAATTTTACTATAAATCATCACCAAAAGGAAACAAGAAACTACCCTATGAGTCATGACATACTCACTGTATCCATGCAGAAATATAAAAATGTATGCTAATAATATACTTTAAATAGTTATTAATGTTTATAACTAGAAAAATTCATTTTATTTTAATAGCTTAGCTTTTCCATGGTAATGATATACTTCTAATCACTAGTAACAGATTCACAGAAACTCTGGACACAGACTGAGTGGACCTCAAAGACAAGTTAGTGCCCAAACTCTTTAAAGATGAAGCAGCTGACTGATGTCTGGAGGTGAAGAGATTCATGAAGTGCCACAGAAATAATATCACAGGGACCTGATACCTGATACCAGGAAGACATTTTTTCTTCTTCACACATGAAAATTTCTGTTGCAGGTGCTTTCATAAAAATGGATGTTTAATTTGAATCACACATTCTAGAGAAAAGGAAATCATTTCCTTGTTTTACTGTGTCAAAATGAAAAAGCTGCCAAATTTTGTTCACGTAAAATCTTTGAAACTTTGGTGATTTAAAAGTAACTCTTTCATGTACCACAATGTTCATTGCAGCTCTATTTACAATAGTCAGGATATGGAAGCAACCTAAGCGTCCATCGACAGATGAATGGATAAAGAAGATGTGGCACATATATACAATGGAATATCACTCAGCCATAAAAAGAAACAAAATTGAGTTATTTGTAGTGAGGCGGATGGACCTAGAGTCTGTCATACAGAGTGAAGTAAGTCAGAAAGAGAGAAACAAATACCGTACGTTAACACATATATATGTAATCTAAAAAAAAGAAAAAAAAAGGTTCTGAAGAATGTAAGGGGAGGACAGGAATAAAGACACAGATGTAGAGAATGGACTTGAGGACATGGGGATGGGAAGGGTAAGCTGGGACGAAGTGAGAGAGTGGCATGGACTTATATACACTACCAAATGTAAAATAGATAGCTAGTGGGAAGCAGCTGCATAGCACAGGGAGATCAGCTCCGTGCTTTGTGACCACCTAGAGAGGTGGCATAGGGAGGGTGGGAGGGAGACGCAAGAGGGAGGGGATATTGGGATATATGTATAGCTGATTCACTTTGTTGTAAAGCAGAAACTAACACACCATTGTAAAGCAATTATACTCCAATAAAGATGTTAAAAATTTTAAAAAAAGTAACTCTTAAGGGAACAGAAATGTGCTTTCTTAATCTTTGAATCCTAGCCACTTTGAAACCTAGCACAGTGCCCAACTTGTACAATATCTGTTAAACTGAATACAAAGAGTAATACACACTTTTTTTTTTTAAAGAATTGTGATCTTCATCAGGGTTAAAATGTTTATATCAAAACTAACTAGATATTAAAAGGGAGAAAGTTTTCAATATGTTAAAAAACAACATATGTACAAACCTGCTACCAAACAGTGCTTGGTGGCAACTGGAGACATATGATGACTATAAACTGTTTCTTCAAAATTAAATACATCTGCAATCTGATAATCAAAAGACATTTAAAATAAGTGTAAGTTCTAATTACAATCACAAAAGCAACAAATTTTCTATTTGCTTATTTTCACAGTTAGCAATTTTTTAATTGACTGTTAGCAATTTATTTATTTTTCTTTAATAAATCTCAGAAATCAAGACAAGACAACCACTTGGTTCACCATCTTCCCTTCTGCTCCATTCTGAGGGACTTCAGCATCTACACAGATGATCTAGCCAGTACTCTGCCTCCCAGTGCCATACAACCTCAGCTACCACACCCAGGACATTCTCATCACCTAGAACTGCTTCTCCTTTGAAATCACCTATTTCAGTTATATATGACCAAATTTTATATCGTTCCAGGTCCCCCCCGCCCAGCTACCTACAAGACACCCCAATAAAGCCCAGAAGTCCTATCAGTTCCTTTCTTCACTTCTTTTCCTTCTTCAGCTTGGATTCCAAGTTTCAATGCTTCAACTGCCAATATCTTTTATGTTATCATTGCATTTGTCAAGACCTCAACCTGACTCCAAATGTCTGCCTTCTGTGTACCTATATCCAGGTTTAACTACACCAGAGGTCAGCAAACTTCTGTAAAGGGTCAGATTGCAGGCTTTGAGAACCAACTACTCATTTCTGTCACTGTAGTGTCAAAGTGGCCATAGACAATAAATGAGCATGTCTGTGTTACAGTAACACTTTTTTTTTTTTTTTTTTTTACAAAAAGAGTCCATGAGAAGCCTTGGCCCAGAGCCTAGACTTGGCCTATGGGCCGCAGTTAGTTGACCTCTGCCCTATCCAGGTGAAGAAAATCTTATAATAGAGAAGACTAGTATCACTATAAAAGATCATTCATCTCAACTGGGCTTTAGTACTGACTGCCGGTCCTACAATTTCAATAGCGTTGTCTACAATATTTGCAGCTATTTCAAACCTTCGCCACTCTCCACAAAAATCGCCCCTTCATCACTACAGGTGATCTGATCTTTCATTCCAAAGAGAAAATAGGAGCCATTCAATGAGAATTTCCTTATTGTCTTAACAACAAACTTATAAACAAATTTGCTTCCGCTTATCTTTTTTCCTTCTTCATTCCTGTTATCATGAAAAAAATGATCCTTCCTCTTATTTAATTTCCCCACCTGTGTTCAGATCACTTTCAGCACTGTCAGAAATCTCACCCTATACATTATTGCCTCTATCTCCCGAATATGTATAACTGCTCTCTCCCTACTGGCTCGTTCCCATCAGCACTAAAACATGTTCAAGTCTCTTTCATTGTAACAGCACTCCCCTCCCCAAGACAAAAAAACAAAATCCTTTTCACCCAAATTCCTCCTAATTAATCTTCTTCCTCCCCCTTTAAATCCAAATTTTGGCTGTCTCTAATTTCTTATCTCTTATGTATTTCTCAACTTACTGCAAACTTATTTTTTATCTCCACTACTCCCACTCTCACCACCCTGCCAATACCACTGATAACCTTCTATCACCAAATGTAGTCTTTATCTTACCTAATCTGTCAGTAGCATTCAACACAGCTGACTATTCTACCTTCGTTAAGACAATCTCTTCCACTGGCTTCCATTATATCACATACTCCTGATTTCCCTCTTATTCTCTCTGGCTAGGCCTTTTCATTGTCTTCTGCAGGCTTTGTTGTTCCTTCTCCTGTCCTTATAATCTTCCTCAAGGTTTAGACTCCTCTCTTCAACTGCCACCTATATCCTAGTGATTCACAAATCTATATTTTCAGTTTAGACCACACTCCCAAATTCCACCTAGGTATAGCTCAATTCCTGGATTATCTCCACTTGGCTCTACACCTTAAAGTTAAATAGAGAAGACTCTAGAGAAGACATTCCTCTAAGCCACAACATATGCTCAAGCTATTAAAACATGCTCATGGAAAACTGAGATGAAGGTATGAAAAGTACCTAATATATATATTAATAGGAAAAACTAATGATGGGAGTAGACGATGGAGAAAATAATAGCAGAGAAAATAATAGCAGAGGCACAATTGTTTCTTACTGAATGCTTTCAAATTTATTATTAAAAATAAAATACTGTCAGGCTTCCCTGGTGGCACAGTGGTTGAGAGTCTGCCTGCTGGTGCAGGGGACACGAGTTCCTGCCCCGGTCCGGGAGGATCCCACATGCCGTGGAGCGGCTGGGCCCGTGAGCCATGGCCGCTGAGCCTGAGCGTCCGGAGCCTGTGCTCCGCAACGGGAGAGGCCACAACAGTGAGAGGCCCGCGTACCGCAAATAAATAAATAAATAAATAAAATAAAATACTGTCATACCTTTATTTCAAACAGAATTATGAACTCATGGAATACTGTTTTAAGTTAGCAAAACATTTATGTTTTAAAGAAAATTTAAATCCAAGATGTCAGAGTTTTAATAGAAGTCAATGTTAAGGAAAGAAAATGTAAATGTATGGCTTATTAATTTTTAATTAATTAAATTAAAAAATTTTAATTAAAAGTCATACTTTTAAATGAAGTGTAACATACAGAAAAGTACACAAAAATCATAAGTGTACAGCTCAATTAATTTTCACGAAGTGAATTTTCACAAAGTAATGACCACCTTTATTGAAAAACAGAACATTTCAAACATTACAAATACCCCAGAAGGCTCCTTAGAACCCCCCCTTACAAATCTCACCAAGAAAGATAACCATCATACAGGCCTCTATCAACATTAGATTAGTTTTGTCTATTTTTGAACCTCTTATAAGGGGAATTATATATTAGGCACTCTAGTTTTTGGTTATTTTATCTAATATTATATAAGATTCATACTTTTTGTTAATACAGAAGTGTTCCCTTGTCATTGTAGGAGAGTGCTCCGATGTAAAATTTGCCAGATTTCATTTGGCTGCTAATGGACATTTGAGTTGTTTCCAGTTCTTGGTTATCATCAACAGTGCTGCTATGAACATTCTTACAAATATCCTTTAGTACACATATGCATGCATTTATATACCCAAAAGTGTAACTGCTGGGTCAGAGGATATGCACATATCTGGCTTCAGTCAATACCAAATATCTGTACCAATTTGTGATCTCATCAGCAACATATGTAATGTGTGATGATGTTATCATCAACCTCTTTTAAGTTTGGCCATTCTGGAGGGTACAGAGAGGTATCTCATTATGTATTTAAATAACACATCCAGGTGCACAATTAATAAAGTTGAACACTTTTATTTATTGGCTATTTGGATATCCTCTTTCTTGAAGTGCCTATTCAAGTGTTTTGCCTATTTTTCTATAGGACTGTTTTAATTTTTGTTGACTATATAATCTGTACATCAGTCCTTTTTCAAACATATGCATATGTCAGATATATCATCCCATTCCATGGCTTACCTTTACACTTTTGTAATAGTGTTTTTTGATGACTAGAGATTCCTAATTCTAATGTAGCTCAATTTATCTATCTCTGCCTTTTTGGTTTGTAGTTTTTGTGTCTTTAACTGTCATAAGCCATAAACACATTTTCTTTTTTCATCTTTAAGCTGTATCATTTTATCTTTCACATTTATATACTTGTAATCCACCTGAAATTGACTTTTGTGTCTGGTGTGAGGTAAGGGTCAAAACTAGTTTTTAAATATGGATACCTAGTTCATCCAGGACCATTTATGGAAAAGGTTATCTTTTCCCCAATTCACTGCAGTGTTATTTTTATCATAAACTACATCATTATACAGCTATGGGTGTGTTTCATGATTCTCTATCCTGTTCCCCTGTGTGTGTTTGTTTTCACTTGTACCAATATCACACTGCCTTGATTAGTGTAATTAACTTATGGTAAAGTCTTGGTTACAGGTAGTGAAGTCCTCAAGCTTCATTCTTCTTCAAGAGCACCTTGTCCCTCTGCATTTCCATATGTATTATACATTAGAATTACCTAGTCAATTTCCACAAAAGAATTCTGCAAAGGTTTTGATCAGAAATGCACTGATTCTATAGATCATACTGGGTAAAATCATTATCTTTATAATATTAAGCCTTCTAATTCTTTTCTTTCTTCTTCTTTTTAGAATTGAGGTATAGTTGATATACAATAACAAAGTGATTCACAGTTTTTAAAGGCTACATTCCATTTATGGTTATTATAAAATATTTGTCATATTTCCTGTGTTGTAATATATATTCTTGTACCTTTCTTATTTTATACATAGTAGTTCATACCTCTTAATCCCCTATGCCTATCTTGCCCCTCCCTCTTTCCCTCTCCTCACTGTGGTAACCATTAGTTTGTTCTCTATAACTGTGAGTCTGTTTCTTTTTTGTTATATTCACTAGGTTTTTGTACTTTTTAGATTCCACATATAAGTGATATCATACAGTGTTTGTCTTTCTCTGTATGACATTTCACTTAGTATAATACCCTCCATGTCCATGCATTTGATGCAAATGGCAAAATTTCATTCTTTTTTATGACTGAGTAGTATTCCATTGTATACACCGCATCTCCGTTATCCATTCATCTGTTGATGGGCAGTTGGGTTGCTTCCATATCTTGGCAATTATAAATAATGCTGCTATGAACATTGGGATACAAGTATCATTCTGAATTAGTGCTTTTGTTTTTTTCAGATAAATACCCACGAGTGGAACTGCTGGGTCATATGGTAGTTCTATTTTCAGTTTTTTGAGAAACCTCCATAATGTTTTCCTCAGTAGCTGCACCAATTTACATTCCCACCAACAGCACCCAAGGGTTCTCTTTTCTCCACATCCTCACCAACATTTGTTATTTGTGGTCTTTTTGATGATAACCATTCTGACAGGTGTGAGGTGATATCTCATTGTGGTTTTAATTTGCATTTCTCTGATGATTAATGATGTTGAGCATCTTTTCATGTGCCTGTTGGCCAGCTGTATGTCTTCTTTGGAAAAATGTCTATTCAGGTCTTCTAACCATCTTTTAATTAGGCTTGTTTTTTTGATGTTCAGGTGTATGAATTGTCTATATATGTGAATAT